TTGAGGTTAAAAAATAAACAAGCTGAGTTCCATGCCATTTGTAGGAATACACAAGCACTATCCTAACTAGTTGTTATCATTACAGTATGTACATCGGAAACTTCGCAGAAGTCTGAGCTTCAGGTTTTGCGGACATCGATGGAACCACTATTTTACAAAGCAGCTTCATTTCTGGCAAGCAAGTAATGATATCATGGAATGAGACCTCACTAATAGACTACTATATACTGTGCGAATAAAAAAGTACGGTTTGAAGACCCCTGTCATCAGATGGTGCACTGGTCCTTCAGAACAACTGCGACTGCAGCTCATAACCTACGGCTGAAGAATCAAAGAAGCACTAGGGGAAATCGACGTGTCTTCCGATTATTGTAGCTGGTTGACTAAATGAACGTCAGCTACCACACTCATACGTTAGAGCGATGATGTCGGAACACGAACGCTTAAGACGGCAAGCCACTGAGTGATAATTACCCAAACATAAAATGCCCAGACAATGTTATCAATCCTTTTAGTTTGCACTTCTCGAAGGTGCAATCAAGGGGAAAATATGCGATTTTCACTATAAGCTAGGCTCTTTAGTTTATTGTGATCTTCGCTAGACTGAAATCTTCAGTACTTCAACCGTTTCGCAGAATTTCCCCGTCCATGAACGTTCCTCCATTTGGAGGCATGCTGCCAAAATTAAGCAACACATGGTACACTATCATCTGAGTAAAAGAAGCAAAGGTTCGAGTAAACTGGAAAGAGAACAGTTCCTCTGATGATCCCTTCATTATTAGCCATGGATGTATCGCTTCAAAAATATAATACCATATTACCTGCAGGAAAAGCAGCACGTCGTGGCGATTGTAAACTCTACCCCAAACTCAGACGTATGAGGGAGTCGTTAATATGAAGCCAGGCTATATAGGGTAGGTTTTGAAAATCGTTTTTAAAAACTTGTTTACAAATATTCACAAGGACACCGATGCAAACTTATTTAAAGCCATTGTATAAGAGAAGCACTGAAAGTATCATTCGTAAGAATAACTTAATTTGGCACGCAGCTAGGTCAACGGAAAGGATCTACTGGCAACCACCACTGTCTTGTGGTTGGGTTATTGAGCCAAAGTGCTAGAGGAGACAACCCCGAACAAAGAATCCGAGGGGTTGCTAGGGAACCGCTTGTATTAAACGTTCCCAAGAATCATGGCTATTTGTCTGCTTAGGGGCTACACTCAGTCGCGCAAAAACGATGTTAACAAACAATAATGGCAGCGCCATCAGTAAATATAACCAGCGCCAGCGGCATTGTAACAGGGAAATTAAAAACACCCACTAAATATGATGACTCGACGATTTAACGATGTCGACCGATTTATCAGCTCCTATAAACGCATATAGTGCAGTTCTGGTTAACATGAGGTTTCAGTTAGAGAAGAAGGGCTTGCGATTTTGCCGTTTCAATACAGGGAAGCTTGACGCATACGCAATCTACATTGGTATCGCTGGATAGGTGGGGATATTGACTATCCTTCAGTACGAAGAGTTAAGATATGAAGTGACAAATAAATAAAGTCAAAATGTCGTTCGAAACAGCCCAC